GCCTCTGCCTCTGCCTCTGCCTCTGCCTCTGCCTCTGCCTCTGCCTCCTCTGCCTCCTCTGCCTCCTCTGCCTCCTCTGCCTCCTCTGCCTCCTCTGCCTCCTCTGCCTCCTCTGCCTCTGCCTCCTCTGCCTCTGCCTCCTCCGCCTCCGCCTCCGCCTCCTAAGTGCTGGAATTAAGGGCTTCACTTTGGTACCCGTATCCCTTCCCCACCTTGTTTTTGACAGTCTCATTGAACCCAGTGCTTGCCATTTCCACTAGTAAGGCTGTCTAGTAAGTCTCCAGGATCTCCTGTCTCTATCTTCCCCTGGTCCTGGGATCTCCAGGTGCACACTGCTGTGCCTGGCTCTTCTATGGGTGCTGAGGATCAAAATGCATGTCTTTGTGCTTGCATGGTGTGAGAGTCTGCAAATTCTACAGCCAACAGTGTTGATTCATGTGAGGTGAGAACAAGTCCAATAAGTCCATCCAGGCAGGCATGGCTCAGCTGGTTCAGGCTTCTCAAACCTGACACCGGGTGGTTAACTTAGGCATGTTTAAATACAGCACAATTTGGAAAAAGTTTCTTGGTGATAAATAACTCAGTCCTATGTACACAATAAAGTTTAAAGCATGGCTACACCAAAGCTCTTTGTAAAGTACATATGAAATCTTAAGGATCTGGAGGAGGATCTGGTATCTCAATCATACAAATAGTGCAAAGGTCACCAAGCTATAAAACACCTCTAGTCCTGTTGGTAAAGTGCATTCAACTTCTCCCATATAGATGGGTTCTATAGATTGACTGAGGAACAGGCTATTAGCCGCATTCATCCCCAGACTTCTGGGCAGAAAACAGATGTCTTAGGGTTTTACTGCTGTGAACAGACACCATGACCAAGGCAACTCTTATAAGGACAACATTTAATTGGGGCTGGTTTACAGGTTCAGTGGTTCAGTCCATTATCATCAAAGTGGGAGCATGGCAGCATCCAGGCAGGCATGATGCAGGAGGAGCTGAGAGTTCTACATCTTCATCTGAAGCCTGCTAGCAGAATACTGGCTTCCAGGCAGCTAAGTCTTAAACCCCATACCCACAGTGACATACCTATTCCAACAAGGACACACATATTCCAACGGGACCATACCTTCTAATAGTGCCACTCCTTGGGCCAAGCATATACAAACCATCACAACAAGTTATTCATCTTTTTTCTGAATAGACAGCCCTGTGTAACATTTCTGCTTTCTCTAGTGCATATCTCTGAGCACAAGGACCTCTCCTTCCCCATCAGCATATCGAGTACTTTACTTTTTGGGCTGTCTCCTCAGCTTTCCAGCTTACTGAGACAGTGTTTAAACCTGGAGTTCACTGATTGGGCTAAAGTAGAAGTGGATGCCCTAGAAGCCCAAGGGGCCCTCCACCTGATCCCTTCTCCCTAGCACTAGATTACAGCCACCATGCCTGTCTTTTTATGTGGGTTTGGAGACTCGGACCTCAGGTTCATGTGTGTGTTAAGCACCCTGCCAAATGAGCCATCTCTCCAGCCCAGAAAAAAATGCATTCTGTAAACCTATTGAACACCATATCTCCGTCTTCCTTTTACCCCATCCCCCACCCTCCTCCTCCCTCTTGAAGGTTTCACTGTTGCTCAGGCAAGTCTCCAGGTTTTATGCTCTACTGATCCTGCCCCAGGTCCCTCAGTAGTCGGGACTACTTGTGTACATTACCACCCAAGGCTTCCTCTAAATGAACCCGAAGGAAGCCCTGTAATCTGGCTATTCAGCCTGCTTGGGCTACAAGACACATTCAAAGCCACCCTGGGTAACCTAGCAAAAAAAGCAAGATGACAGGCTATAGCTTAGTTGGCAGAGTGCTTGTCTAGTATGCCAGAAGTCCTGGTTTGATCCCCAACACAGCATAAATTGGGCATGGTGGGACACGTGCAGTCCTGACTCTCAGCTTGAATTACAAGGGACTTTGTCTCAAAAGGGGGTGTGGTGGGGGTGGGGGACATGTGAGTTAGCTCACTCAGTGATGAAAGGACTTGTTACCAAGCCTGACAACCTAAGTTTGACCCCCAGAATTTACATAAAGGAAGGCTTGGACCTCCATGTGCATACCGTGGCACACATACACATAAACACACACACATCATGGCACAAAATAGGTAAAATATAATTTAAAAAAAAGATTAGGGGACTGGCTATGGTAGTACATGACTTTAGCCAGGCTGATTCACATCAGTTCTGATTAAGGTAGTAATGGCTACTGTGCTTGGAGAACAGCATTTCACAGCAGTCACTGTAACATGTATTTTAAGATATTGTAATTCACATACATTATGAACAAGATATGACCTTTACTGCAGATATAGTCTAGTGGATGGA